GGGGATTGTGCCGAGGGTGTGTAAAGGGCAGGGCCTGGGAGGGAGAGGAGGTTAAGGGAGCAGCAAAGGGGAGTGGCAGAAAGTGGGGGTCCAGAAGGGCTGCTCTGGGAACTGACATCTTGCCCGGGGTGTGAAGGAGCGAGAGCTCGGCACATGCAAAGGCATGGAAGCGGGGCACTTAGGGACAAGGGAGGGACATTCCTGCCAGTTTCCCTGGCTTGTGTCCCCATATCTGTTATGGACCAGGAGGGCCTCCTCTTGCTCTCTGGCTCGGACAGAATGCTATGGTCTTTCTCCAGGTTGCTCTGCACTCCTGCGCTGCCCTCCTCAAAGTCTCTGAGTGTCAGTGACCCTCCCAGGGGGCATGGTTGCCTTTATGCTGTGAAAAGTGGCCCCAAGGAACAACTCAAGGATGGTGCCCAAGTCCACAGGTCACCATAGCCTGCTCTGGCCTGCGGGAAGCAAGAAATGGAGCCCAATAACTGGAAATAATACTCTAGGGGAGCCATAGTGCCCAGAACTATATATGGCCTTCACATCAAAAGATGGGAAGTGTCCCACAGGACAAAGGGCCCTCGGGACCCTCAAGTCTCGGATGGCTGTCACTGGCTCTCACACAGAGACTAGGACTGTGCAGGGACCCAGAGGACCCTCCCAACGTCCTCTTAGGGAGGAGACTCTAGAGCCATGCCACCAGAAGGCCAACTATTTTGGGGGTGTCATTGGTGCAGAGGCTCTTTTTCCCAATATGGAAGTGAAGTAGCAGTGAAAGTGGATGAAAAAGTATTTGGGGAGCCTTGGGAGCTTTGTGTGTAAAACATAGTAGGTGTTTAATCAGTGTTGGATGGGTGGATGGAAGGATGGATGGATGGATAGATGGATGATGGATGGATGCCAGATGGATGGATGGCTGGATGGACGGAAGGATGGATGGATGGATGGATGGAAGGATAGATGATGGATGGACGGAAGGATGGATGGATGGCTGGATGGACAGAAGGATGGATGGATGGATGGAAGGATAGATGATGGATGGATGATGGATGGATGGATGGAAGGATAGATGATGGACAGATGGATGGATGGATGGATGAAAGGATAGATGATGGATGGATGATGGATGGATGGAAGGATAAATGATGGACAGATGATGGATGGATGGATGGATGGATGGAAGGATAGATGATGGGTGGATGATGGATGGATGGATGGATGGAAGGATAGATGATGGACAGATGATGGATGGATGGATGGATGGATGGAAGGATAGATGATGGGTGGATGATGGATGGATGGATGGATGGATGGATAGATGATGGACGGATGATGGATGGATGGAAGGATAGATGATGAATGGATAGCTATGTATATGAATGTGTGAGAGCATGAATAAACCAGTGAGCCATTAGGTGAATGAGTGGAAAACCAAATGAGTGAAGGAATAAATAAATGTTTGAATGAGTAAACAAGTTAGTATCTAAGTAAATGAACTTCTGGTTCAGAAGTTTAGAACAGAAAACCTAATTTGCTATCACTTTGCTTAGGAGTAGGGAACCCCTGGAAAGAATGCAAGAGGAAGAGAGAGTATCCTGAATCTTGAGTAAACTGCACTTTCAAGTTTCTTAAAGGAAGTATCACCCCTCAGCTTCCCGGGGAGCCGCGTGTACTCAGAATAGGGTGAAGTGCGTCTACACTCCGGGCAACGTCTTCAGCCCCAGTTGGGCCTGGTCCCAGCCCTGGAGTACTGGGCAGGCATGTTAGGCCACAGTGGAATGACTCAGATCCTGGCACCTGCCAGCACCTCCCCAGGGAAGCCTGTGATCCAGCCCACCCACTCGCTATTATTGAGAGGCGTTCCATGCCCCTCAGATCCAGGAAGTTTCCCAGGGTTGTGGGCTCTGTGCTCAGAATTCCCTCCCTGCTTTTCTCCCTGCTCTGAGCATCTCCCGCTCCCCTCCACACAGGCGTCCTACCCAGCGTGACAGGTGGAGCCACATGGGGTTGATCCTCAGCTCTGCCACTTGGGCTGTTTGACTTCAGACAACTGCCTTAACTTCTCTGAGTCACAGCTTCCTCATCATTTATTATTTTTTTTAACGTTTATTTATTTTTTGAGACAGAGAGAGACAGAGCATGAACGGGGGAGGGTCAGAGAGAGGGAGACAGAGAATCTGAAACAGGCTCCAGGCTCTGAGCTGTCAGCACAGAGCCCGATGCGGGGCTTGAACTCACGGACCGCGAGATCGTGACCTGAGCTGAAGTCGGACGCTTAACCGACGGAGCCACCCAGGCGCCCCGCTTCCTCATCATTTAAATGAGAAGTCTTGCCTGTCTCAAGGGGTCGTTGTGAAGATTCAGTGGGACCATACATGTCAAGGACCCAAAATGTACCTGGCACACGACATACACCAAGCACCTTATTTCCAGGTGCTCAGCTTTTTTCTTTCAGCAGCAATTTCAGGAGTGTTTAGCAAGTGCCAGCTGGGCATCATGCCCAGAGCTTTACACGCGTGACCAGATTCAATTCTCACCGAAGAGGGTGTTAGGGATTGTGGTGTCCCATTAAAAATATGGATGGAAGTCCTAACCCCCAGGATCTCAGAATATGACCTTTTTTGGACATAGGGTCTCGACGGAGGTAATCAAGTTAAAAAAACGCAGTCATTAGGGTGAGCCCTCACCAGTGAACAGGTGTCCTTATAAAAAGGGGAACTTTGGACACAGAGACAGACACACTCAGAGGGAAGCGGATGTGAAGACACACAGGGAGAAAGGCCATGTGAACAGGGAGGCAGAGACAGGAGTAAGGTGGCCACAGGCCAGGGTACATCTGGAGCTGCCAGGAGCTGGAAGAGGCAGGAAAAGGATTCTTCCCGAAGGCTCAGAGGGAGCATGCCCCGCGAGCACCTTCGGGACTCCTTGCCTCCAGACTGTGAAACAACAAATGTCTGTCGTTCGCAGCCACCCAGGTTGTGATACTCTGCGGTGGCAGGCCACAGGCAACTACGACAGAGAGGACTGGCCTCGGAGACAGAGGGAAGGACACGCACTCAGGGTTCCAGAGCTTCTGTTTAGAGGTGGGCATCTCTCGGGGAGCCTATTATTAGAGGATCACGGGGTATGTTTACCACAGACACACACACACACACACACACACACACACACACACACACAATCTGCCTTATAGAACAAAATACTAAAAAGGGGGCCTCACTCTGTACCCTCAGAGGCCTGGGGTCTCAGCCTCCCACCCAGAACAGGGAAGGTATCTTCCCACAGCCCCCAACCAGCTACCATGATCTCTGCTTAGCTGCCAGGGGCCCCAAGGAACTGTCTCCCCCGCCTTCTGCTCCAGATGCTCTCAAGACCGTGACCAGATGTCCTCCCTGCTGTGCTAGGCAGCTGCTCACTGTCCCTCAAGGGCTGCGCTGCCCCCAGGAGGATCCTCTGGTTCCTCCGGAGTGGCCGGGGGCAGGACAGTGGGGCTCGTGGCTTGCCTGATTCCTCTGTCAGCACAGAGGCTGAACCCCGGCTCCCCCGGCAGCGCTGGGAGCAGAGGCGACGAAGCAGTTCACGGGACCCCACGGAGCAGCAGCTGGGGAAAATGCCAGACAGAGCCTGAGAGAAGCTTCAGCCACAGGGGACGTGTGGAGGAAGAGCTATGTGCGTGGGGGTGGGGGGCGTTACGGGGCTGGGGGAGAATATATAAAAGAGAGAGAGAGAGTGTGTGTGTGTGTGTGTGTGTGTGTGTGTGTGTAGCCCTACATGGACAGTAGGGCTAAGGCCTGGGGGAAACAGGCACTTTAATGCACACCCTCGGTGCTACCATATGGTGGGGCCAGTCAGTAAATCCTACAAAATGTGATCGATCTTAAACTCAGTAATCTCTCCTCCTGGAATTTATCCTCTAGATAGAAGCACACTTGCATATGGAGACAAGAGTTCAAGGGTATTTACTGAAGCCTTGTTGCTAAGAACAGAAACCTTGTCCCGCAAATTCGGTGGGGCTCAGCTCTCCAAGGGCAGCTCTCTACACCACATAAGGATCTCAGACGTTAGCCCTAGGGCAATAGGGAGCCATAGAGGGCTTTAAGCAGGGGGAAGGGCTTGCTGCAATTTGTGCTTTGGATGGATCCTTCTGACAGAGCAGAAAAAGCAGAACTGGTGAGACCATCTAGACGAGATATTAATTCAGGCTCCATTGTCTCTCGTCTGGGTAGTTCAAGAGCCTTGTGGTGACTGATGGGATGTGTGGGGGCAGAGGAGGGGACGCCTGGAGGGCCTGTCCCCTTCTCCCACCAACTCTGCTGTCCCTGGGCAGCCAGTGAGGGTTTGAAGTCAGGGGATTTCTTCAAACCACAGAACACCGAGCCCCGCAGCCCCCAAAGCCACTCTTGCCTCATTTTCCCCATCTGTGAAATAGGGATAACCAAACACCCAACCTCATAGAATTGTTGTGAGGGTTAAAAACTCTGTTATAAATACACAGAAAAGCACCTGGTACACAGTGAGGGCTTGTTAAAATGTGAGCTATTTAAAAAAAAAAAATGTGAGCTATTTTTTTTTATCATAACCAGGCATATGGTAAATACTCTGTAGATATTCATAAAATGAATTATTTGTTATTAAAATCAACCTAAAGGCGAATCAAGGAGTGAGTCTGAAATTAGAGAAAGGAAGTTAAAAGCAAGATTCCCCCAGTCCCTTGACCAGATGGGAGAGAGTCAGGGAGTCCCGAAGAAGGACAGTTTAAATCAGTGCCAGGGGTTAGGCCCAGGCCCCACGGCTTGTTAAGTGAATGGATTTGGCCAGGCCCAGCAGGTTTGTCAGGGGTTCTCCTGAGCACAGGAACCTTCATTGTTTCTTTAACACGGACCTACACCTTCTGGCCCGGCCCTGTCCTAGGACTTCCTCTAAATTCAGTTGGCCAACTTCTCCCCTTGTGCCTGCTTATGCCGTCTTCACGGACTCGGGCTCCTCCCCGGGGACCCTGGGAGGTCGTCTGTAGTGGGCGAAGAGCAGGGTCCTTTGGAGGCTTTTGTGTGTCCACTGATGGAGGAGATGAGTCGGGGATCCCAGGGAAGAGCCTCCCTTGGCAGGCTTCTTCCCTCCCCAGTGGGTCTCTCCCATCCACCTTGGCCACTGCCACCGCCCTGCTGACTCCAGGAAAACCAGGCTGGAGAAACATGGAAGGTTGGCTCTAGGGGTGACAATGGAATGAAAGAGTGAGAGAGAACAACAGATACCCAGTGGGGTGGGCTCTATATAAATGGATTCTTGAGGGGCACCTGGGTGGCGCAGTCGGTTAAGCGTCCGACTTCAGCCAGGTCACGATCTCGCGGTCCGTGAGTTCGAGCCCCACGTCAGGCTCTGGGCTGACGGCTCAGAGCCTGGAGCCTGTTTCCGATTCTGTGTCTCCCTCTCTCTCTGCCCCTCCCCCGTTCATGCTCTGTCTCTCTCTGTCCCAAAAATAAATAAACGTTGAAAAAAAAATTAAAAAAAAAAAAAATAAATGGAT